GCCTGGCCAAGTACAAGCGGGCACTGCTGGGGCCCCTGCCGCCCCTCCTGGGTATGCCAGCCCTGGGCTGGGGGGGGGGCGCGGGCGGGGTCGGGGGAGGGGGGCGGCCTGGTGACTTCCGGTTTCTCCTCAGACCCGAGCGTGCCCAAAGTGCAGGTGACCAGGCTGACGCTGATGTCTGAGCAGGCTCCAGGGCCCATCACCATGGACCTCACAGGTACCGCCCGCCGGGGGGGCCCCGGGGCAGGGTCTGCGCCGTCGCAGGAGCCCGGTCCCCAGCGGCACTTTCCCTAACAGGGGAGCTGGCTGCACTGAAAAACCAGGTGTTTGTCCTGAAGGAGGGTGTGGACTACAAAGTGAAGATTACCTTCAAGGTGAGGGCAGCTGTCACGGGGGACGCCCGCCAGCACGGGGCGAGCCCCCCCAGGGGGGCACCTAACACCCTCTGTCCCCCAGGTCAATAAGGAGATCGTCAGCGGCCTCAAGTGTCTGCATAACACCTACCGCCAGGGCCTGCGTGGTGAGGGCGGCGAGGAGGGGCTGGCCTGGGGGGGCCGAGGGGAGGGGCGGCTGTGGCGCAGGGTGGCCCCTGACAGCCTCCCCCTCCCCCAGTGGACAAGGCCGTGTACATGGTGGGCAGTTACGGCCCGAGCGCCCAGGAGTATGAGTTTGTGACCCCGGTGGAGGAGGCGCCTCGAGGAGCCCTGGCGCGGGGCGCCTACGTGGTCACGTCCTTCTTCACCGACGACGACAGGACAGACCACCTGTCCTGGGAGTGGGGCCTCCACATCTGCCAGGACTGGAAGAGCTGAACGCCCCCCACCCAGGGGCTGTCCTCAGCCCACCGGGGTCCTTGTTTCCCCTGCCCCCGCAGCGACCGCACCCCCCACGCCCTCTGCTCCAGTCCTGGGACACCCCCTCCCTGGGCTGGCATTGTGCCCTGAACAGTCCTAATTAAACGTCACCTTGTCTCGGTTCCCTTGGTGTCGCCTCTGTCTGCCTCCCTCCCCCGGGGGTGGGGGGAGCCTCCGGCCTTATCTTCCTGGGACTAGGACTGGGTGCCACGTGGCGGCTGCTGCTTGGCCCCCGGCCCCCTTATCTGCCCCCCGCCTCGTGGGCCGAGCACCGCCATGGACGGCCAGCTCCTGCTTGTGCTGCTGCTGCTGCTGCTGCTTGGGGCCTCGGTCCCAGAGGGCCAGGGCCCAGGGCCCAGGGAGCCCGAGGAGGAGCCCCCCGAGGAGGAAGTCCCTGAGGAGGATGGGATCTTGGTGCTGACCCGGCGCAACCTGGGCCTGGCCCTGCGGGAGCACCGCACTCTGCTGGTGCAGTTCTGTGAGTGCACCGGGCCAGCGGGGGCCACCCGCGGGCTTCGGCCGCCTGCCCTGTGGACCCGGGGCTTCCCGAGTGGGCACTCGGCCTCTCCTGTGCTCCTGGGGCTCCATGGAAGGGCGTCTGGAGCAGAGCCCTGGGACTGAGCTGAGCCTGGGGGCATCTAGTTTGAGCAGGGCCGGGCGGGGCTGGGGAGGGAGGCGCAGGTGCGGGTGCAGGGAAGACCCTGGATCCTCATCCGCCTGCAAACTCTTTCTGTGAGGGGAGGGGCCGCAGAGCAGCCAAGCCTTGCTATTCTTCTGTGCGTTAAAACAAAACAAAACAAAACAAAACATAGGGTCACCTGGGTGGCTTAATCGGTTACGCATCAGACTTCGGCTCAGGTCATGATCTCATGCGTGCGAGCCCCGTGCTGGGCTCTGTGCTGACAGCTGAGAGCCTGGAGCTGCTTCAGATTCCGTGTCTCTCCCCCTCTCTCTCCCCCTCCCTCGCTCGTATGCTGTCTCTCCCTCTCTCTCTCTCTCTCTCAAAAATAAACATTAAAGAAAACATTTTTTTAATGTTTATTTCTTTTGGGAGAGCAAGCACATGAGTGGGGGAGGGGAAGAGAGAGGGAGGGAGAGAGAGAATCCCGAGGAAGCTCCCACTGTCAGCTTGGAGCCCAACGTGGGGCTTCATCTCATGTACCTCACGTACCTCACATAAGGTGAGATCATAACCCGAGCCGAAATCAAGAGTCAGACGCTCAAGCGTCTGAGCCACCCAGGCGCCCCTGCTCTGTGGATTTTCGCAAACCTTTGCACGTGTGAAAGCCATGCCTGGATCGCAGGTTCCACCAGCAGACACGGGCGGCCAGGGAGCAGCAGCTGTAGGATTCTCCTCAAACTCGTGGTCCGGAAGGTGCTGGGCGCTGCACCTCCCGGCGTGGGGCCGTGAGCTCTGGCTCTGCCGCAGAGGGTCAGATGGGCCCCCAGAGGAGGGAAGCGTGGATAGGAGTGCTCCCTGCCAGACCCGAGCGACCCCAAGGCTCTGGCCGGGAGAGGGGGGGCTGAGGCTGGGGCTGCAGAGGCCGAGGACACTCATGGCCCTGTCCCCCAGATGCCCCGTGGTGTGGGCACTGCAAAGCCCTGGCGCCCGAGTACAGCAAGGCCGCAGCCCTGCTGGCGGCAGAGTCAGCCCGAGCCAGGCTGGCCAAGGTGGACGGGCCTGCAGAGACAGAGCTGACCCAGGAGTTTGCTGTGACCGCATACCCCACGCTCAAGTTCTTCCGTGACGGGAACCGCACACATCCGGAGGAGTACACCGGTGCGGGGAGCAGGCCCGCGTGGTCGGCGGGGGGGTGGGCTGGGCTGGGGCACGGGCCCCGGCTGAGGGGACTCTTTGCAGGCCCCAGAGAGGCCGAGGGCATCGCTGAGTGGGTGAGGCGGCGGGCGGGGCCCAGCGCCACCTGGCTCGAGGACGAAGAGGGTGCCCAAGCACTGATCGATGGCCGGGATGTCGTGGTCATTGGCTTCTTCCAGGTGAGCTGGTGGCACTGGGGCCCGGGCCGTGGGAGCAGGGTCGGTGGTGCCGGCCTCACAGGTTTGGGCCCCTTAGGACCGGCAGGACCAAGACGTGGCTACCTTCCTGGCCCTGGCCCGGGATGCCTTGGACATGACCTTTGGCCTCACTGACCAGCCGAAGCTCTTTCAGAAGTTTGGCCTCACCAAGGACACCGTGGTGCTCTTCAAGAAGGTGGGTCAAGGCCAAGGTGGGGGTCGGGGCCCGGGCCGTGGCTCCCACTGACCCACCCAGGGTTGTCCAGTTTGACGAGGGTCGGGCGGACTTCCCAGTGGACGGAGAGCTGGGCCTGGACCCGGGGGACCTGTCGCTCTTCCTCCTCACGCACAGCATGCATCTGGTCACAGAATTCAACAGCCAGGTGAGTGGAGCTGCGGGTGCATGTGCAGGGGTGCGGGGCACGTCCAGGGAGCCAGCCCCCCATACAGGTGCTTTGCCTCTGCAGACGTCCCCCAAGATCTTTGCGGCCAGGATTCCCAACCACCTGCTGCTGTTTGTCAACCAGACGCTGGCCTCACACCAGGAGCTGCTGGCTGGCTTTGGGGAGGCTGCTCCCCCATTCCGGGGGCAGGTACTGGCTGGGATGGGGGCGGGCAGGGTGGTGGGGATGCGGGGTGGCCAGCACCGACTCCCCGCCGACAGGTGCTGTTCGTGGTGGTGGACGTCAGCGCCGACAACGACCACGTGCTGCAGTACTTTGGCCTCAAGGCTGAGGAGGCCCCCACCCTGCGCTTCATCAACATGGAGACCACCAAGAAGTACGCACCTGCACGCGGGGAGCCGGCCACCGCGGCCTCCGTCACCGCCTTCTGCCATGCCGTCCTCGGCGGCGAGGTCAAGGTCTGGTGCTGACGTGCCCACCCAGGGAGTGGGGGGTGGGGAGCAGCGCTCGGGAGAGCTCCCCACTGACGCCCCCGGCCCGGTCTCTCCCAGGCCTACCTCCTGAGCCAGGAGGTGCCCCCTGACTGGGATCAGCGGCTGGTCAAGACCCTGGTGGGCAAGAATTTTGAGCAGGTGGCTTTTGATGAAACCAAGAACGTGTTTGTCAAGTTTTGTGAGTGCAGAGGGCCATGGGCGGTGGGCAGCGGGCAGGTGGGGGCCTCTGTGGGCTGTGCCAACGCCCCGCTGTCCTAGATGCCCCTTGGTGCACCCACTGCAAGGAGATGGCCGCGGCCTGGGAGGCCCTGGCCGAGAAGTACAAGGACCGCGAGGACGTCATCATCGCGGAGCTGGACGCCACGGCCAACGAGCTGGAGGCTTTTCCTGTGCACGGCTTCCCTACCCTCAAGTTCTTCCCCGCAGGCCCGGGTCGCAAGGTGAGGCGCGGCAAGACACCCCACCTTCCTCGGGCTGGAGCTTGGCCTGCGCCTCCCTCAGGCCTTGTTCAGGGGCAGGAGATGGGGCAGGGCCTCCGGGGGCACAGCGGGGTGAGGCCGTGCTCCTCCGGAGCCCCGTGTCCCTCCTCAGGTGATTGAATACAAAAGCACCAGGGACGTGGAGACCTTCTCCAAGTTCCTGGACAACGGCGGCGAGCTGCCCGCCGAGGAGCCCACCGAGGAGCCCGCAGCGCCCTTCCCGGTGGGTGCCTCCTTCCTGGGCTTCCCGGTCTCTGGCCGGGGTACCGCGGTGGCCAGGGGTGGGGGTGAGTCAAGGCCACAGCTCCCAGCCGCGCCTCTGTGACCCTTTCCAGGAGACAGCGGTCAATGCCACCACGGAGCCCAAGGAGGAGCTGTAGTCGACCCCCCATCACCACCTGGGGCCCCCACACCAGATGGTTCACTGCGGAGCCAGTGAATAAAGAGCTTTTGATCCTGGACTGTGTATGTGGTTCCTGAGCACGGCTGGTCCTTGGCCCTCGGCGTTGGCCACACAGCCTCCTGGGCCGTTCCATCGTGAATGGGGCCTGGCCCTTGCCCACAGCCCTTCTGGGTAGATCTCCGGCTCAGCTCCGGGTCTGGGCCCCCCCCTCCAGAGCTCTGTCAGTGTGCCTCCAGCAGACGCCCCCCCCACCCCCCGCACGGACCCTCAGAGGTCTCAGGTGACGCTGGCGGGTGATGGCAAGGTCGCCACCGGGCTCCACCCACAGAAAACAGGTGCTCTCCACGGCCAGAGAAGGTTCAAAAATGATTTTATTCCATTATTATCCAAGTACCTTTGAAAAGATAATTGTACAAGTCAGCGCATGAAAAATGGGCTGCGGCAGCCCCCCCCACCCCGCTGGCCCTGGCCTGAGAAATGTACATATTTACAGGGGCCCTTAAAGGGGAGGGAGGGGCCCGGGACCCGCTAAGCCCGCGCTCCAGAAACGCAGGGTGGAGGAGGGAGAGCGCTGCGGGCTCCGTCGCCGGGTCCACACAGTGGCAGGCAAGAGACAAGCTGTGTTGAAGGCACTCGGTGACATGTACAATTGACAGAGGCCCCCGTGGGGCCCCCAGCACCCCAGGCCCGAGCAGGGTGGGGCGGACGAGTCCCAGGAGGGGCAGAGCCTGCAGTGTGAGCGCGGGGCGCGGAGCGGGTGGGCTGCCCGCGGTCAGCAGCAGGGAGTCACCGGAGGCTGGTGGGGGCGGCCCTGTGGCGGGCGCCACGCCCAGACGGGCCGAGTATTGCTGAGGAGCGGACGGCGGCGCCCTGCTCGTCAGCGGCCGGACGGGGACCCGGGGGCCGCCCGCCCGTCTGGACGCCGACGGAGGGAAGGGGCAGGCGGCACGTGGCCCCTGGCCCGCACTGGTGCGTCTGCCGCGACGCCCGTGACCCTCGGGGGCCGCCCAGGCCCGCGCTCAGTCCACCTTCTCCACCTTGCCGATGATCTTCTCCTCGAAGACGGGCAGGACGGCCTCGTCCTCCCGAACCTCCTCAAACACCACGCCGCAGTCAAACTCGTCGCTCACCTTCTTGAAGTAGTATCTGCGGGACGCGGGCGAGGGGCGGCGGGAGGTGAGGGCCCCGCCCGCTCCCGCGCACGCACACAGGGCGGGGCCCGCCCGCCGCCCGCCCGGCCCTCACCTGTAGTTGCCCTTCTTGGTCAGCAGCTCCTTGAACTGGCCCAGGGTGACGGCGCGGCCCCGCACCAGGGTCCGGTAGGGGATGGGCTCCCCGCAGAAGTAGTAGGCCACCACGATGCTGTCACACGGCTGGGCGCTCCCACTGCCCGCCTTCCTCTGCGACTTCGTCCTGGGGGCAGAGGCGCAACAGTGACCGGTGGGCTCGGGGTCACACAGGACACACTCCAAAGGGCTTCGCTCCCCCCACCCCCCAACAAAGGGCAAGGACCGGGGAGGACGCGCCCGGCCGTGTGCGAAGGCCCGGACACCCCTGTGGCCTCACTCCGTGTGGGGTCTCAACCAGAGGCTGTGCCGACGCCATGCTCTCCGAAACCCACGGCACGGACGCCAGCTCAACCCTCAGCCTCCTGCCCATGGCCTCTGGCCTTCCCGTGGCCTGAGCTGGCTGGAGCGTGGCTCCGCCCTCCCAGACCACACAACCGTGGCTTCTCTGGGGTGGATCCCACCGCGAGGTCTCTAAGGGCACCCCGGCTCCTGGAACCAACACTCGCTGCTCGTACCCCGGGCGGGGCCTGGAGCCCCAAGGCCTCAGGAACCCTGAAGGCCAGAGGCTGGACAAATGGCACCGTGCGGGGTCCGGAAATGGACCTGCCCCACAGCAGAGAGCCGGTCTGAGGAGCAGAGGCGGTGGCCGGCCACACTTGCCGAGAAGGGCGTGAGGCCAGCAAGGTCTCCCGCCCAGGACCACCGCGAAGAGCCACCTGGCCTGACGGGCGCAGAGGCCGTGCAGGCAGCGCGCCTGCCTCCCTCTAGCGGTCCCCGTCCCCTGACCGCTCTGGAGCTGCCCGGATGTGCTCGGACACGGCTCTGGGCCCCTGCCAGCAGGGGCGCAGCGTCCTGTCAGAGGGCCCCCGAGCTCACACTGGGACCCTCCGTCGCCCAGGTGCTCCAGGACCACAGCAGGCGGTTACTCGGGCTGGGTGGCTGTCCGCCACTCAAGACCAGTTCCTGGGTGATTGCTTTCCTTCCCCAAGTGCCGCAACCTCACCGGGCAGGGGAGTCGGATAGGGAGCCATTCTGTACGGAGGGGTGCAGGGTCCCTCCCTGCCCAGAGACCCCCCCCTGGAGGGGTGAGCCGGTGGGAAGGCTCTGAGTCACTCAGGCATCTGGCCGCACGTGACGAACCGCTGTGTGGGAGGAGGTAGGGGGCCCCGTCTCTGTCCTGCGCTGAGCAGAAGTCTACCCGTGGTCCCCAATCCCCGCCCTGCACCACGCCTGCCTGGGGCGCAGACGTGCCAAGCCCCAAACCCCACGTTCCACGCAAGCACAGAGCCAGACTCCGTGTGCCCACAGCACCTGGACACGCGCGCCCGCGGGGCCAGGCTGGGAGGGACACCCCCGGCCGCACACCAGGGAGCCCCAACGCCTGGCTGGGAAGCTCAGGGAAGTAAAGGCAGGTGGGGCGGGGGCCACGGGGCCAGAGCCGAGGCGACAGACCAGAGCTTCCTCTCCGGCCTGTTGCCCATGTGTCCCACAGGGATGGCCCGTGTCTCCCTTGACAGAGACGGGAAGCTTGAGGCCGGCCGGCTCCGGCTCCTCAGCGCGGCGCCCCAGGTCCCGTCCTGGGGGCGGGCGGCGGACCCAAGAGCCTGGGGGCGCACGTACTCTGTCTCGGAGAGCTCCAAGTCCGACACGGCTGGCACCACGCTCAGCACGGGCGTGCACGCTGGCCTGACACAGGAGCGCCCCCGCTGGATGACCTCCTGCACATACCTAGGGAACAACCGCGGCAGTGAGCTGCGCGTGCGGGGCCCCCGGGAGGGCCCGTCACCACCGAACCGGGCGCCCGCCGGGCGCGGCGGACCCCACAGCACACCACACGACCGGAGCTCCGCGGGCTCCGTCAGCGCCGGGCAGCAAACACGAGGCCGCAGTTAATGCAGAGTCCCTGCTCCCTCAGCGGACGACAGCGGGAGCCGCGGGTCCTGTCGCGCCCTCCGCGCCGACGGGAGCCTTCTGGGGACGGCCCGGCTCTTCTTCCTCCGTGCTCTTCGTCGTCCTCTCCGCTTTGTGGCCGCTCGGTCCCCGGCCGCCGGAAGGCCCAGCCCGGCAGCAGCTCCGCACACGGCTGTCGCCCTGGGCGCGATGCTGTGCGGCCCTCGCAGTGACTTCTCTTCCCCAGCTGGGGCGGGGGCACCCCCCGAAGAGCTCAGACCTCCACTCCTGCCCGGAGTCGTTTACCACAGGCCCGCGTGCCTCGGACCGGCAACAAACGGAGACGCCGGGGCCGGCGGCCAGAACCCTGCCAGGAGGCTCACAGCCCAAACTACGGGGTCCCGAGAGGCTTGTGCGGATCGGTTTGGTGTCCATGGCCAGTGAGGGCGCACGCGGGGCCTGTGTGTGCTGGCGGGAGGCGAGCACGCGAGCCCGGCACTCCCTGGGGGGGCAAGGACGGCGCCCCCGGGGTCTGTGCAGCAGGAAGGACCTCCTGGCCACACGCCCCCCACCCCCCCCGCCCGCCGGCCCCTCCGCCGCCCTGTCTGCCGCGAGCACGCGAGCCCGGCCCTCCCTGGGGGGGCAAGGACGGCGCCCCCGGGGTCTGTGCAGCAGGAAGGACCTCCTGGCCACACGCCCCCCACCCCCCCGCCCGCCGGCCCCTCCGCCGCCCTGTCTGCCTCCAGTTCGCGGCCCCGTCGGACCGAGCGGCACCAGAGCACCACGCCGGCGCTCTGGGCCTATGTGACAGAGTCACGGGGCGTCAGACAGGCGGCCGTAAACATGGTCACGTTCAACGACCAGGGGACACACTCAGGCTTCCGGCTCGGCCTGATGAGACAGGCACGCAAGAGCTGGTGGCCCCACGCACGGGGAGGCCCCCAGGAAGGATGGCCCGTAGCCGGGCAAGGAGGAGAGGGCCAACGTGTGACCAGGCTCCAGGGCCTCGGTGGCACCTGCAGATTTCCCTGATCCATCCGGGAACTCCAATGACCGACTCAGTCTGGGAAAAGGCCCAGCGGAAAAGGCAGGGGGAGCCACATTCTGGCCCGGAGAGAAGGCGCACTGTCCACAAAGGGGTGCTCCCCGGGGTGGGGGGCCGCATCGGCCCGAGGCCGCGCCAGCAGTGGGTCAGGCCTCCCTGGCCCTCGAGGCCAAGGAGGCCACGGCAAAGGGGACGGTGGGGTTCGGGGTCCCTCGCGGAGACTGTACCCCACACGTACTTAAGCAACACTCCCCGTCCTACCCGCACGTGGCGCAGCTTGTGGCTCCCCGTCCCCAGGAGCCCCCAGGACCCCCACCCCGAGTTCAGCCTGCGCAGCGGCCGGCGCGCTCAGAGGGGAGACGCTCCGTCCCCACACCCAGCAGGGCGGTCATGGCCTCCTGCCCCAGCCCCTGTCACACTGCGCGGCGGCCTGCCGCCCCGCCCCGGAGGCGCCCCGTTGGAGAGAAACCAGAACTGCTGGCGTGCCCAGGCCTCGGGGGGCGACAGCCCCAAAGCTGTGCCCAGGCGGCCCTGACTGGGGGTGCGGCCTGCTCTCCCTGACGCCCCTACCTCTGCTTCGAGGGTAACTTGCTGGCTCTCTTCTCCTCCTCCTCCAGGCGCCTGCGGGCCTCCTCCAGCTGGGTCAGAGGGTTGGGGGCTGGGTTGGGTGGCATGGTGGGGTCTTGAATGAAGAGGTGAGAGGGCTGGACGGAGTTGCGGAGCTGAGCGCTGACCCAAGGGTGCACGGCACCAGGGCGCTCGACGGACAGGGGCCTGGGACTCTCGTGCGCCTGCTGCTTCTTGGCACCGGAAGACCTTTGGGAGCAAAAGAACAGGCGTTGCAGCATCTGAAAGCGGGCGACAGGCGGGCACGGGGGCAGCTGCACCCTGGCATCTCATGACACAGCGCTCCTTCTTCTTTTGTAACTTTTTTTTTAAACATTTCTTCTTCCTTTTTTTTTTTTAATGTTTTTTATTTATTAGAGAGAGATAGAGAGAGATAGAGAGAGACAGCGTGAGCACGGGAGGGGCAGAGAGAGAGGGAGACACAGAATCTGCAGCAGCTCCAGGCTCCGAGCTGTCAGCACAGAGCCCGACGCGGGGCTCGAACCCACGAACCGTGAGACCATGACCTGAGCCGAAGTCAGACGCTCAACCGACTGAGCCACCCAGGGACCCCAAAGTTTTTTCCATTTTTTCTAACGTTTCCTCCACGTGATCGCACACCTCTCTCCACGTGCATTATCCAGCACGAAGCGCTCTAGACCTGCGCAGTGAGCCTTTGCTGCGCGGCTCTGGATTAGACTGAAAACAGCAGCCCCTCTTGGCCTTGGCTGGCGCCCTTGGAAGAGGGGGCTTCAGCACCAGGTCGGAACCCCGGGAGAGGGCCCCCCCACCGGCTCAGGGCCCTCACGACCCCAGACCTGCCCAAGGGAAGAAAACCCAGGGCACTTGGGATCTTCCTCCTAAGGAGCCCACAGGGCTGGCCACAGGGAGACCTGGGCTCTGGGGCCCACCCCGACCCCCTCTCTCCGCTGCTCCCCGCCTCCACCCCCCGCCTCCCTGGCCTATAACATTGAGAACAAAGACAGTGGCCCACTGCACCCCAGCCGTAGGGAGAGCTGGTCGGGTGACTGAAGTGCCACCATCGAAAAAGGCCCATCCCAACATCAAGCACCTTCCAACCTGAGACTGCTTTCAGTTGTGCCTTTTACTCTTCACCCACAGAAACCGTCCATTCAGTGTGGGACAAACAGCTGGGGCAGAGCCGTTCCTTGTGAAAACCCAAGAAAGAAATCCAGAGACTCTCAACTAAAGAAGACAGGGGCTCTGGAAAGCCCCCTCGCCCAGGACGGGTTCTGTGACTGCAAAGGTGTCTGGACGCTGGTGGGAGGCTTGTTCCCACGGCCATGTGGAGACCAGACACAGAGACCCAGGGGTGGCAGTCCCGTGTCTCCGCTCGGGCTGGGCTGCCTGCCAGGTGTGCACACGCTACTCCCTCCCTCCCACTCTCTCACACACAACACACATGCGCACACACACTCCACCCTCCCCAACCATATTCAAAACAGAGGGTCCGGGAAGTGGGAGACTGAGGAAGGAGGGGTGGCCAGCCCACCAACAGGCAGATCCCACTAGGCTCAGACAGCTGACCTGGGTGTGATGCGTGCGGTCTGGGCCAGCGCCAGCCCCCGAGGGCCCCCCCACAATGGACAGACCCATGGGAGGAAGCAAAGGTGTTTCCAGGGGCCAGTTCCACACCCTCCCAGAGCAGCCCCTGACCCAGTGGGGTCAGTCCAGGGCTCAAGAGGGTGTAGACACTACTGACGGCTGGGGGTGACCAGGTGCGATCACAGACGGCTTCTCCTGGGGGCCCGTCTGTAGTGACGGCCAGATACCTGCCTAACCCCCGGTAACTTAGGTCACTGTCACGTGGAGGCATCACCACCCCAGAAATAACCTCGGGACGCAGCTGTGTGAAGGCAGGCCCCCCCTTGGCAGGTTGGGCGCAGCAAGAGGAGCTCAGGCAGAAGCGTGGGGACTTGAGAGCGGGCTCAGCAGCAGGCACTCCTGCCCAGGACACGGAAGCCATGTCAGGGTCCCACTGCCAGCACAGGGCCCCACTTGGGGTGGGTGTCGGCAAGCTCACTGCCACCGTGCGTAAGGACATGTGGCTGGGGCCGGGCCTCAGCTTCCAAGACCCTGGCAGAACCGTGCTGAAGGCTCGTCCGTTAGTGGCGCACGCAGGCGCCTGCATCACCCGGGACGTGGGGCACCTCTCACCCGCGGCCGGCGGGGCCGCACCCCCCAGGCCGTCGTCGCCTCTCACCCGTGGCCCGCCTTGCGGTGCCGGCTGATCTCCTTCTCCCCCTCGATGATCCACTGCATGATCTTCTGGTTCTTCTCCGCGTCTTCTGAGGGGCCCGGCACCTCGGCGCCCGTGCTCTTCCCTGACTCAGCCTTCTTGGCGTTTCTTCTGGACGCGGTGCCAGCCTTCCCGCTACAAAACCAAGAGACTGGGAGTCAACTGCTGACGTGACCCCCTGGCCTGTTGCTGGACAGTGGCTCCCTGAACGTGGTGGCTTTGATAGAGCTGTGCGTCCTCAGGGGCTGTGCCCCAATGCCAGCGGCGGGGCGGGCTGTCTGAGTGTTTGGTGGGGAGTGGAAGGTGTCCAGGCAGCACCGGCTGGGAGGGCGAGGGCACCCCGTCCTTCGCCCTCCCAGCCCAGTCACCCGCCTGGTGGCGGCAGCACCGGGACCCGGTCACTCCTCAGCCAGACGCCTCTCCCTGATCCAAGCACCCTTCAAGGCTGGAGCCCTGGCCGGCCCAGAGCCCCGGGCCAGCCTGGCATACAGGCCTAGCGGTGGGGTCCTTGGGTCACCACCCGCCTGCAGTCTGCAGCTGACCCTCGCTGGGCGACTTTTAAAGGGGAATTCTGGTCCTGAAGACCTGAGCTGAAGCCTCAGGAGACACGGCCTCTCACTGCGACTCCTCCCTCCCCGGGAGGGCACACGTGGCCCTTACTGATACTGCTTCAGGGACAAAGGATCCCAAGGGAAGGGTCAGGTGGCCACAGACACTCACCTGTAGGCCAGGCTGTCGCCGGCGCTGGGGGCGGCGCCCGCGCTCTCTGAGTGGCTGCGGGGCTTGGCCGTGTGGCCGTGCGGCTCCGGGCCCCAGGCGAAGCTGCCCTGGACACGGCGGGCGGCCTCCACCTCGGCCTGCTCCTTGGGCCTGGCCGCCCCATGGTGACCGTGGTGGTGGCCGTGCCTGTGCAAGTGCGGGCCGGCCACGTCCAGCTTCGCCCCAGACTTGGGCGCGTGCTTACTGTGCCCAGGGGGCACGCCCCCCAGCACCCCCACAATCTTGGGCACGTGCCCGCTGTCAGGGGAACGGTGGCCGGGCCCCGGCGACTGACAGCCTGGCGTCCTCATGACCCGCTGCACGTGCTCGTCCAGGATGCTCTCGGGGTTCTCCTCGTGCGCGTCCCGCAGGGCCACGCAGCCCACGTCGGCATAGCGGGGCGGGAAGTGGTGCCAGGCCGCGGCCAACGGCAGCTTATGAGCGGCCCCCGGGGGCCCAGAGGGCATGTCACCGTCCTCACCTTCTTCCTCCTGCGGGACAAGGCCACGAGTCACCCCTGGCGCCAGCCGACTCAGACACCTCACCCTCGGGAACAGAAACAAGCCCGCAGCACAGCACCGCGGGGGCCGGCAGCCCCGAGCTCAGGGTGAGGCAGGGCAAGGCGGGGTGCTGCGGAGTGCGAGCACACCCGCGGCCGCCACGCACCAGGAGTTTAAGGACCACCACGCCCACCCAGCCCAGCCCACTGAGAAACCTCGGGAGGGATTCAGTTCTCTTCTCCGTTTCTCAATAAAGAGATTTTTAGTTTTTCAGTTGATTTCCCTTGCCCTCAAGTTTATTTCCATGCTTTCCAGTATATTTTCTTCCGTTTTCTTTTAAAGTTGATTTATTTGGGGGGTGGGGCAGAGAGAGAGGGAGAGACACAGAGTCCCAAGCAGGCTCCACACTGTCAGCACAGAGCCTGATGTGGGGCTTGAAATTACGAACTGGTAGATCATAACCTGAGTTGAGATCAAGAGTCAGATGCTTGACCGACCGTGCTACCCAGGCATCCCCTTTCCATTATATTTTCTTTCTTTTTTTTTTTAATGTTTTATTTATTTCTAGGAGAGAGAGAGAGAGACAGCGTGAGCAGGGGAGGGTCAGAGAGAGAGGGAGTCACAGGCTGAAACAGGCTCCAGGCTCTGAGCTGGCAGTCAGCACAGAGCCCGACGCGGGGCTCGAACCCACGAACCGCGAGATCATGACCAAAGCGAAAGTCGGACGCCCAACCGACTGAGCCACCCAGGCGCCCTCCATTATATTTTCAAAGGGAACACGTCCTTGTACTGAAGAGCTCTTGTTTTCTGCTTTATTACTCTGCTCTGTTATTCTTGGTTGATTGTCACGTTACAACTAGTTGGGTTTTGCTGGAGTCTCTGACAATCAAGAGGGCCGTATCTGACCAGTCTAATTCCAAGACAAATCTTGTATGTATTTTCTCACATCACTGAATTGTGCATAACGGGGAGTAAACCGGAATAACAGGGAGTAAATCCGGTAATAACCGGAAAGAATGGGATAGCTACTCCTGTGCTATCTCGAAAATCTCGAAAACTCCACTACGAAACATCACTTATGGGAAAGCCCCTCCCCCTCACTAGGACAGGTGGTCAGGTACAGACGCTTCAGTCTGTGCTCAGGGAGAAGGTGGCACCGAGGAGGACAGAGGGGCAGGCGCATGGGTGGGGGGAGGGGGAGTGTGCCCCTCTCGGGCAGACCGGGGCCCCGGGCTCCCACAGCCCACCCCAATTCACATCCCAGACCCTCTACTGTGCCCTCCGAGGGACACGGACCCCCGCGATCCCCAGGGGGCGGCAGGGGGGTGGTGGTGGACACTCCGGGCTCTGCATATGTAGGGAATCAGTTTTATGGGTTTGAAATGTTATAGGTTTGCTGACCCATCTAGGTAAGAGTTTTCACTTTCTTCTTTATTCTTCTCTCCCAAATTTTACAACAAAACTGTTATTTAAAAATTTGCAATTATTCTCTTTTTTAAAAAGACTATAGTTGGGGCACCTGGGTGGCTCAGTCAGTTAAGCATCCGACTTCAGCTCAGGTCATGATCTCGCGGTTCATGGGTTCGAGCCCCGCTTTGGGTTCTGTGCCGACCGCTCAGAGCCTAGAGCCTGGAGCCTGTTTCAGATTCTGTGTCTCCCTCTCTCTCTGACCCTCCCCCGCTCACTTCTCTCTCTGTCTCAAAAATAAAATAAACTAGGGGTGCCTGGGTGGCTTAGTCGGTTAAGCGTCCGACTTTCGCTTGGGTCATGATCTCGAGGTTCGTGGGTTCGAGCCCCGCGTCGGGCTCTGTGTTGACTGCCGGCTCGGAGCCTGGAGCCTGTTTCAGTCTGTGACTCCCTCTCTCTCTGACCCTCCCCTGCTCGTGCTGTCTCTATCTCTCTCTCCTAGAAATAAATTTAGAAAATTAAAAAAAATAAACTATAAAAAAAAAAAAGACTGTAGCTTATGGCATAGTTATACGTGCCACCTTTTGTAAGATCATACAAGATAGGGCCTCTCACGTCCATACGGATTCCTGGTAGATATGTAGTTAAATTTGATTGTCTCCTGTTTTGTTCTGTTTTGAAGCACACAGTGCTGTCAGGTGGGTCTGCATGGCCACCTGCGGGGCAGTGAGCCCCCCGGGGACGGAGGGAGGCCTCTGGGGGCAGAGTGGCTACAGGCCAGAGACTGTGACAGAGAGCCTGGCACCGTGTCCAGAAGCCACCGCGGGCCCGCCAGTTGATTCCGGACTGATACTTGGGAAACACAAGGGGCTACCGGTCTGAACATCTGCTCAGTCATCGAGCACCGGGCAGTCTGTGCGGCCGGGTCCAGCCCCCCGAGAGCGTCTGGTGGATCCAGGCGCAACCGTGTGCACCCGACAGGGAGGCCATGGAGAAAGAGACTACAACTCAGACACGAGAGAGATACACCGGATGCCTATGGTTGCCTTTACGATGCCCATTCAGCCCGGCCACCTGCAGGGCCACGGGCACGTGGAGCCACGACGACAGACTGGACACAATTACGAGAGCCTGGTTCTACAACGAGAGAGAGTGAACGCTTCCTTCCTTAAGCTTCTCCCACAAACCGCTGGGGACTTTTACCTCATGAGTGACCCGAGGGGGTTGGTGGAGGCCCGCTCGGGCCACCGACGTGCTATGGTGCCAGCCCTGCGACCGCACGCAAGTCAGGGTTTGGCTCCCGCTAAATCCTGCTGTGCCCCACGGCAACTCTGTTCCAGACTGCTGATTCCTCAGAGAAGGTTACCAGACAGGCCGGGCACCCGACAGCCCCTCCACTCGCGGAGGCCTCCGCTGGACCCTGAGGGACAGGCGGCCTCCACAGCTGCCCCCCTAGTGTGCACCCAGCCCCGCTGGACCCCAGGCTGGTGGACGGGCAGTGGGTGGGCACTGCGCTGCCTACATGGGAGTCACCTGGTCGCTGGGAGAGAAGTTCAGTGACTCCGCACGGGTGCTCAAACACACTTTCACGCGGTTCCCTCAGCATCTGGCCGTCGCCTCGGTGACCACCCCCCCTTCCCGGCACCACCACGAATCCCAGGTTTTGACACGCTAGGTGAATCTGAAAAACGTGGGGGGTGGGCAGGCCCCTTATCTCAAACCTGGGTGTCACCGGACAGCAAGGGCATGGCCCGTGTGCAATGCCCGGAGGGCACGACAGAAAAGCGCTGGCTGTGACCGTGGCCGTGCCCCACGGCGGCATCTTCAGATCCGGACGCACACGACTCCCTGGGGGAACATGGAGGCTAAAAGAGGACCCCCCGGGGGTTCTGACAGTCTGAGGGCTCAGGTCTGCGTGGTAAACGTGGACGTCCGGCGATCACGTACAGAAACACTTCCTTCAAGAACAATCAGGTTTTTGGTGTGTCTTGTTTTTGTTTTGAGAGCGAGCGAGAGAGTGTGAGTGCAAGTCTGCAAGAGGGGCCTGGGCGAGGGGGGACAGAATCCTGCCAGGCTACACGCTCAGCACAGAGCCCTACGTGGGACTCAATCCCATGACCCTGGGATCACGACCTGAGCTGAAATCAAGGGTCGGATGCTCTACCAGCTGAGCGGCCAGGCGCCTCCACAACAATTGTTTGTTTTTGAGGTTTAGGTATTGGGCGTGGAGTACCGAGGAGGGGCTGGAAGACACCCACCTGGTAGTGGCCATTTTTTCTTTTTTTTAAAAAGCAAACTCCACACCCAACATGGGGCTTGAACTCACAACCCTGAGAGGAAGAGCCACTCATTCCACCGACTGAGCGAGCCGGGCTGTTTCAGTAGGAACGTCCTACCTGCTGGAGACCTAAGGACAGCGTCCAGCGACACGGCGGCTGCGGGACCCCGGGGCACGGGGCCTCGAGGGTAAACAATCTGGTGAAGTGCAAGGAGCATGGGGAAGGCCTCGCTCGAGGGACACGCCTGTCATCAGCGCCTCAGGACGGAAGCCCCTGAGCACGTGGGGGAACAAACCCTGCAGGATGACACCCACGGGCCACAGAAGCCAAGTGTCTCTGGCAGTTAAAGCCCAGGAATAAGTCACAGATCACGCGAAATCGCCCGAGTGTCCCGCCTTCCACCAGGCACGGGCGCAGGTCAGAAAACAGCACGCAGGGGTCTCTGTCTGAACATGACCCTCTTCACACCTGGGATGACAAGTGGGGCTCCCAGCCCCCCTGCCAAGTGCACGCTCTGCTCCCCACATGGGCACGGTGCCCGTGGAGCCTGTCCCCTGGGGCCTGGCACAGGGGTGTGTGGGACCTGCCTGTGTGCGTCGCCTGCCGTAACAGTCCTCCCTGAGCTGAGCTGATGTTGCTCTGGCCTGGCCACCGCTTGGGGACGGCAGCGGGGCGGGGTCTCCCCAGAGGCATGTGGAACAGGACCCCCGGCTCCCTGCAGGCAGAGGAGCGGCTGCTGAGTGCCTACTGATTGCTCTCAGGCCGGGCCCAGGGCCCCGGCCATGGGGACCTCATGCCCGTGAGGCAGTGAGGACTGGGTTCGTGCGGTGGCGGCCGCAGGGACGGGCGTCACAGCAGAGCGGCCAGCCCACCAGGACAGGGCAGAGGGCGTCGGGAGCTGGCGTCCTGGGAGCCTCACGCCGCCCTCAACTCAACCAAACGGGAACGGGCTAATCCAGAAACTGGGATGGCCGCGGCCCACCCCAGGAGGGGCCCACTCACCATCCGGACGCGTTTCAGCCGCTCCTCCAGCTTCTCCTCGGCCTCCCGCGTCCGCTGGATGGCCTCCAGGCGGTGGATGAGCTCCGCGGCGAACTTCTGGGGCTCCACGCGGATCTCCTTTGGCATTCGGTAAGTGCGCTGCAAGGAGACACCGCCGATGAGCCGGCCGCGCGCAGCCCTGCACGGTCGGCCCCGTCACGACGGCGCGCGGGCACTTTCTGCGTGAGCGGAAACAGCGTGTGAAACCTGGGTTTCCTCTGAAAGCGAGTGGTCACCCTTTCCTCCTGCTGCCGGGGTCCTCGCTGCCCCCTCGTCTTGTCTGACTCAAGGCCTCCTTCAGCCAGCACGGTCCCGGGAGGGAGCACACAGCCCTGGCGACCGCTTCCCCAGCCTCGCAAGACCACAGAACCGGGGGCTCGGAGCCGGCGGGCGCCGCGTTAGGGCTGGGTCAGGTTACCACGGCGGCTGCAGGCAGGTGCCCGGTTCTGGTGCCCCAAGCCAGGTGTGCCCCCAAGCCCAGCCCAGAGCAGGGCCTCTAATAGGGCTGGCCGGGCCAGTGCCCAGGAGGGGGAAGGGAAAGCAGCAAAGACCACGCACGAGAGAGAGAGAGAGAGAGAGAGAGAGAGAGGCCCAGCCCAGGAGCCCCAGGGCAGTGGCCACTGCAGCGCCCCCCCCCCCCCGCCCCGAGCACAGAGGGCAGCGGGCTCTCAAGGCCTCCTTCAGCCAGAGACAAGACTCAACATGCAGGAGGAAAATCAGGGGAAACGGGCAGATCTTCCTTCTCAGAGGAAATAACCGCGCCACATAGTTTACAGAAATACACCATAAGGCTTTTCCGGGGGTTTAGCTTTACTCTGAAGTAATTTCAAAATCGAAAAAGTTGCAAGACTAGCGCAAAGAACTGCTGTCCACCGTTCCCCCAGGCCCCCCAGGCCCCCCGAGCACTGCTCCCTGCCCCATTTCCTGTTACTGTCTGCCACACGCAGACTCGCGTGCGCGTTCCTGAGCCCACAGAGGACAAACGACACGTGTGATGCCCGTTGATTCCTGAACACGTCGGTGCATCTAACAAACTGACGACACTCCCATGAACAAAATGAGACCCAAAGAGAGAACGAGACCTGACAGTACTCTCACCTAATCGGCAGGCTTCAATCTAATTTTATCAGCTCTCCTTATAAGTGTCTTTTATAGCAAAACAGGTTTTAAAAATCTAAGCCACTTGGGGCACCTGGGTGGCTCGGTCAGGTAAGCATCTGACCCTTGATTTCAGCTCAGGTCACAATCTCATGGTTCCTGAGTTCAAGCCCCACTGGGCTCTGCGCTGAGAGCAGGGAGTCCGGCTTTGGGTCCTCTGTCTCCCCTCTCTCTCTGACCCTCTCCAGCTTGCACTGTCTCTCAAAAAAAAAAAATTTAAAAATCTAAGCCACTGACCCCCTGTTGAGGGGATGGGAGCACCAGGGAGCTGCCAAGAGGAGGGGGGAGGGGAGAGGAGCAGGGGGAGAGCCCAGGAGGCCCAGACGGGGCAGGAGAGCCCACGGAGGGGGCGGAGCCCGAGACAGGGGTCTTCGCTGGCCCTTCAGGTGGACTGTGGGGGTCTAGAACCCTGGCCTTCAGGCGTGTATCAAGCCAAGCAGAGAAGGCTCGGGGAGGGGAGGCAGCGGCCGGAGCGGAGGCAGCACCCCCCCACTCCCGTTGGGGGGCTTTGGGCACAGTTTCGACTCTGCCTGTTTCTTATCTACAAAACAACAGTACCTCAGAAACACGGAAGCTTAGGTGAGAAGGTCATGGCCAGGGCTCGGAGACGAACAGCCACGCGTGGGGCTTATACCGGCCTCCATGAGCTCGGGGTGGCTGCAGAAAGCTCTGAAGGGTCTTCAGGGGGACACAGGAGAGGGCAAGCCCAGGGCACAAGCCAACACGTCAGCAGAGCGAGCTGGTGCAGGTGGTCCCGTGGGGCCCAGTGCAGGGCAGGTGGGGAGGCCAGACCCAGACGGGGCCACCGGGGGTGTCCAGTGTTCTCAGAAGAGCCTGCGCGGTGGGGAAAGCCAAGAGGCCGGGACCCTGAAGGGAATCTACGTGGACAGGAGAGGCCAGAGGCCAGCAGGCTGGCTCCTCCGGGGACTGCACGGAGCAGAGCGCAGTGACCACACGGGACGGAGGGCGTAAGGCCAGACATCCAAAGGCAAGGGCTGCGCGGGGCTGACCGCGTGACGGCACACGCAGAGCGAGGGCTGAGTGAAAAGTCCCGGGGAGACAGAAGCGCACCGACACGGAGCCAGGACGTGTGGGCGGCTCGGCCCTGCGGCGGACGCACACCCCAAGATCGTGTGTTCTGGAAAAGAGCCTCGAGGCTGCACCACTGTGCTTCTGAAAGCTGGAAACTGTCAGAAATGACAATAACTGTAATAACCGTGGAAGAACAGTAACCTTCCGGCTGTGGAGGAACAGAAGTCACAGAGGGAAGAGTCTCAGCAATTAAACTGTGGAACTTCAGGGGAATTCAGTGGCCCCTCCCTCAGCCGTAAGGAGCAGACGTTTCAGGACTGGAAGGTCAGCGAGGTCCCCCACGTGGTGGCGCCTCTGTGTTCCCTGCACCGACACCCACACGGCTACTCGTCCCGGCCCCGACCCCTGGAAGTCACGCAGCAAGGACCACCCGGGGCAGCGCCACCGAATTCAGGGCAGCACAGCCTGTGCCGCTGGCCCTGCGCTCCCCGGGCCCACCTGAGACCCCGCCCCCCAAGTCCCCAACCCACCGACAAAGTGGACATGCACAGTTTCCTGGGGCAGGCGGGCGTCACCAGCCACGGAGGAGACACCTCAACCACGACCACTGCCAGGATGAGAAACATTTTCTTTTGGGTTGTTAGATAAAAAATGTTACCCTTGGGGCGCCTGCGTGGCTCAGTCAGTTAAGCATCCAACTTCGGCTCAGGTCATGATCTCGCGGTTAGTGGGTTCGAGCCCCGCGTCGGGCCCTGTGCTGACAGCTCAGAGCCTGGAGCCTGTTTCAGATTCTGTGTCTCCCCCTCTCTCTCTGACCCTCCCCTGCTCATGCTGTCTCTGCCTCAGAAATAAAATTTAAAAAAAAATTTTTTTTAAATGTTACCCTTAAAAATAAAAGTCAGTTGTCTTACCAGCAAAAATGGTTTTATTCAGGAGTAGCCAAGAGCTGAGACTGGGGACAAGCAATCTGTGGCAGAAGTGACAACTCCCACAAACAAAGGAAAAGACACTATTTTACGGAGAAGGGGAAGGTGGGAGGGGCTGCCGTGAACAGAAGTCCACGGTAGAGAAGTGAGCGTCCAGCTGACAACGGCTTCTCCTTGGCTGCGCCGGGGAGGTTGATTTGTGCAGGGGACCCAGTGTGTCCTTCCCTGTACCCGGCGCTCCCGCTGGGACGGCATGAGAGCTCCCCCTGCTGGCTTCCCGAGTCCACTCGGGTGAGGTTTGTCCCACTCCGTTTCCGCACGAGCCCACACCGGACACAACCGATGCAGCGAGCCCTGTCTTCACTGTGAACCCCCAACTGCCGTCACCGACCCACATGCTGGCCTGTTTGCCGTGACCACGCGGCCAGGCTGGGCTCCAGGCTGCACCCCGTTCCCCCACACAAGGACGCGGTGCCCCCGCAGGGGCCGGCTCCCCAGGCTGAGCTGCCTCTGTGCCCGCCCCCCTGCAGCAGCGTGCGACCCCGCCACACCCCCGCCAGGCCCGTCTCCTGAGCCAGCAGGCACAGGGGCCCCCGCGTAGACCCAGAAGTTCCCCACGCCGTAGATAAGCAGCAGTCAACATCTTCTTCTAACTCTGGGTCCCAGAAAACAAAGCCCAGGTAGGTGAGGAGGCCGATGACCCCTGGCTCCCCGTCCACACTGACTGCCTGGCCGTGCCCAGTCCACTCCAGCCATCCCTGTTCCCTTGAACGTGTGACCAGCTCAAAGAGCAGGGGCTCATTAAACCCTGTCTGGAAGGTAACCAGCATGCAGACGTCACCAGGACGCACAGGACCGCCTGCCCTCACTGAGCGGTTGCAGAGGGCCGCGCCCGAGGGTCAGCACAGACACGGGAGTGCTCCTGGCCCTGCCGGGCAGCTGGGTCACCGAGGGGAGACACCTGTGAGGCCACAGCACTGTCCACACCGCGTGGCAAAGCTCGGCTCTCGCAGCCATGCCTGCCTGTCTCGGCTCTGACTTCATGCTGACTCAGCCAGAACCTTCCAAAACCTGAAGATTCCTTGCTTTCCTCAATTCTAGAACATTCCTACAATGACACTTTGACTCTTGTCTCTTCCAGAGTCTCTGTGCCCCATCCTGAGACATCTTTCCAGGTCTGTATTCCAGCTCATCAATTTTCTCTTTTCGTTTTGTTGAATACGCTTGGTTTCATTGTTTGAATTAAGGCCCTATCACCTTGTCGGTAGGTGTGACAGAGGAAGGCTCTCTGACGTGAGCGCCCCTGGACCCCGAGGCACCACAGGCCCGGCATGGCCCTCCCTTCCTCCCCCGCCAAGGCCCATGGTGCTCAGCCGGGCCGTTTCTCTGCACTCGTTCAGTCTGGAACAAGCCGGTCTCCTCTGGACTTCTGTGGCCCTGTGGCTTCCGAAGGTCTGAAGCCAGCTCTTGTGCAGGACGGCCCTCAACGTGGGCTGCGGCCTGCTGACGTCCCTGGCGGGAGGGCCCCGGGCCTCTCACAGTCCTGGGGGAAGAACAGCGTCCACGTGTCCCAGCATGGCTGGTGGCACCTCGGCCCCCAAGTCACTCTGTCCCACGGAGCGACGGCTGCACGGGGGCCACCTGGGTGGGCGCGAGTGTCCTGCTGCTCATCACACTCGCGGCGTGCTCGGTCCGTGAGCGCAGACGCACACGTTCCTACTTCACCGCCACTAACCCCCGTGCTCCACGGCCTGGGCCTCGGCAGGAGGGAGCACCTCCCCACGGCTCCCGCATCCACTCACCCCCTTCCTTTCTGGGACACAGGCTCCCCAGGCTCCCCTCCTGCTCCCCCTGCCCAGGCCCAGTCAGTTAAGCGTCTGACTCTTGACTTCGACTTAGGTCATGACCTCACGGTTCACGAGACAGAGCCTGGCATCGCATTCCGTACTGACAGTGAAGAGTCTGCTTGGAATTCTCGCACTCCCCCTCTCTCTGCCCCTAACCTCACTCCCCGCCCCCCCAAAACAAATAAACCTTAAAAAAAAGAAAAAAGAAAAAAGATCCACGAAGACTGCTGGGAGACACACGTACTAGCGGTACTAGCGCGCGGCAAAGCACGGCCATGTGCGGCCCCGGCCGGCCGACAGCACGAGGAGGCGCCTGGCTTAGGTCAAGTCTGTGCTGTGCTGAGGGTTGGCTGGCAGGTGACAAGACATTTGACCACCCTTTTATTTTTTTCCGTTTTTAACATTTACTTATTTATTTATTTAGAGAGCATGCGAGCAGGGGAAGGGCAGAAGAGAGAGGAAGAGAGAATCCCAAGCGGGCTCCCTGCTGTCAGCACAGAGCCCGATGTGGGGCTGGATCCCACCAACTGTGAGATCATGACCTGAGCCAAGATCAAGAGTTGGACGCTTAACCAACTGAGCCGCCCAGGCACCCCCTGCACGGACCATCCTTTTCTCAGAAGCAAGAGATTATCCACATCCTTTCTTCTCAACCACAATCACCTTTCTTACCTGGAAATTCAAGTAGCTAAACGACTCTAAGGAGCCACGGCCATAGACGGTTGGGCGGTGACCCTGAGAAAGGTTCCCTCTGCCTGCACAGAAACCGCAGATGGCTGCTTGCAGCACCTACAGTCAGAGGCTCCTGCAAGCTCTCCTCCTCTTCCCCGAGAACTCTTTTCCGTCTGGTGGGCGGTCTCCGCGGGGGGGAGGGGGGCTGCCGGACTGCTCTGTTGAAGACCCCCCCGGCCCCCCCCAGTGCCCACAGCGGGGGGGACCACTGTCCCCTCACTGTTTTCATCCAAGAGGTGAAGCTGAGGCACCTCTTGCAGCAGGTGCTCACGGTGCCTGAGCGTTGCTGCCGCCAGGCTTCCGGGCAGAGGTGCAGAGAGGTCGCCTGTGCGGGCGGCTGGCCTGGTATCGGGCCAGTGATGGGGGCTCCGAGCTGCTCTCCCACGTGGAGGAGAAGCGTCTCACTTAACAGGATGGGAAGACTGCACAGCAGGTGTATGTGAGGTCCTCCCTGCCCCTCTGAAAGGACAGCGCAGGCCCACAGGCCACCGACGCTGTCCTCACCAGCATGCAGGGTGTGACCACGCATTGGCCACATGCTACCCCTGGACGGGAGCTGAGCTCAAAGGAAGCTAGCGATGCCCTTGCCACTGCCCAGTGCCACAGTGGCCCTGGGAAGGAGGGAGAAGGGACAGACATGGTCCCAGAAGGCCGGTGAGCCCTGACCTGGGAGACGGGGTGTGGGTGGCCGTGTGGCCAGAACTTACAGGAATGTGAGGTAGAAGCACCCGCCCGTTGACCTGGACGCTCTCCTGCACCTCCCGGCGATGCTGCTTGCGGGTCCTGTACGGTGGGACTCCATCCCTGGCCGGAGGAGAGAGAGTTCGGTGTGAGTGCAAACGCAACAACGCAACAGAATGGAGCGAAACCGTGCTGGCTCTGTGTGGAGCGCAGCGGCCGGGCCTGATTTCTGCAGACGGAGAGCTATGAATGGGGAGGAGGGGCACCTCAGTGGCCCAGTAAGTTGAGCGTCAAGTCATTTCATTTCCTCCTTCATTTTGGCTTCAGTCACGATCCCAGAAGCGTAGGATCGAGCTCCACGTTGGGTTCCACACCGAGCATGGAGCTTGCTTAAGATTCTCTCTCTCTGTCTCTGTCTCTCTCCCTCCCTCCCTCCCTCCCCCCCCCCTTCCCCCGCTTATGATCTCTCTCTAAAGTTCGGGGGGGGCGGGGAGCAGGAAAGGAGTATGTGACAGAGACTGTATGTGGCCACAAAGCCTGAACTATTTACTACGCCTTTGCCGAAAACACTCCCCAACCTGTCGTTTATCGCCCTGGTGGACCCGGTGTGTGTGTCTGGGAGGGCGCTCTCAACGGACCCACACACAGACAGCCAAGACAACTTAGACACCCTGAAAGAGACCTCCAAGGTTCTATGTTATTCTGCTGCCTTCCAGGGAAGACTGGCCCGGCAGCGGAGTCTCTCTGAGGGGTACGCGATGTAGTTTCCTTGACGTTTTAGTTACAAACGCTCTTGAAGGTTAGAATAACCATGTGAATCAAATTACACACTGTCTCTACGTGACTAAGTGCACTTGCTCAAGGCAGAAGCCAGATCTGACGCCTCCCCCGCTGCACAGGCCCAATCCCCCCAGCTCTCCAGGCCTCTCCCCGCTATTTAAAGCTATCGTGAGAAGCACGGCGGCCAACAGGAGCCCCGTGACGTGGCGACGCCCACCGAGCAGAAGGCCTGGAGAGCGGCCCCTCCAGGTCGCCATGTAACTTCTCGCTGAAGGACTCCCGACCAGGTTCCCAGCTCCCAGAGTGGGAAAGGAGGAGGCCGGAAACCGTCTGGCTGTCCAAACACTTTGGCCTCCCTGTCCTCTGGTGGGCGAAGGTCTGTGTCCCCTGGCCTCCTTCCCAAGCGCGGCCCGTGGAGGGGGTGCGTGGGGGGATGGGTCAGTGGTGCCCTCAGAGCAGCGCTCTGATCTCCCAGCGGGACCCACCAGGGCGGCCACAGTCTCATCTTACTTAGGAGCTGCTGGGCAGCCCAGGGAAGCCACCCCTTGCCCCACGGCCTGGCGGCTTTGCTGACACGTGCCCGAAAGCCCAGGTCTGGGCGGAAAGGCTGGACTACAGCGGAACGAGGCGGAATGAGGCTGGGACGGCCCATCTCTCCAGTCACTGCCCTGGTGCCCCCAGCTATCTGGGCACCAGCTGGGTGTGTGGTGCGACCGGCTCAGTGCTCCAGCAGGGGCGCTCCAGGGGACAGGCGTCAAGCGCAGGGGCGAGTCAAACGCAGTAAAAAAATGTCATCACCTGCCCCAGTGGTTTAATCCAGGTGTCCCGAGCCACCAACCTGTTTCTCATATGCTTTGACCAGGCACTGGTTAAAGGTCCCACAGGCCCCTGGATGAGGCGCTGTCCTTGGACGCCCGTGTCCATTCTCGTGGGCCACGCTGCCACCGTTTTCACCGTGTGGCTGACCGGCCGAGGGCAGCCGTGCCCCGGAGAAAGAATTTAGAAGAAACGGACCACCCTGCTTTTTGCCTCTAATACACGTTCAAATAACTTACATTCTATGTCTATTCCTACACTTAAAAAAAAATTTTAATTAATTAATTTATTTATTTATTTTTACTTGAGAGAAAGAGGGAGAGCACACACATGGGGAGGGAGCAGAAGATAGAAAATCATTTATTATTATTTTTTTAATGTTTATTTCTTTTTTGAAAGACAGAGAGAGAGGGCCTGCACACGAGCGGGGGAGGGGCAGAGAGAGAGGTGGCCAGAGAATCCCAGGCAAGCTCTGCGCTGACAGCACAGAGCCAGACACAGTGCTCGAACTCACGAACTGTAAGATCACGACCTGAGCTGAGGTCAGATGCTTAACCGACTGAGCCCCCAGGCACCCCTCCTGTTGCTGTTTCTGATCTTAGTGTAACCAATGAGAATACAGTACCAGGAAAAAAATATTTAAAAATTTTAGATTTTCCCTTTAGCAAACATATGTCCTTTCCTTAGAGAGAATTAAGAGAATTTACAAGAAACATGTGCTGGCAAGTGCATCTTCACCGTAGTCCCCAGTCCCTGGGAGGAGAAAACCAAATGGTATGAGTGCGGGGCCCGCTGTTTGCTGCCTGGCGGGGGGGGGGGGGGGGGGGGGTCGCAGCAGGTGCTATTAAAACCGCAGGCACTTTGAGGAAGAAACGGCTAAAAACACATCAACATTTCATCTTAAAGATGTGAGACTAAGGGGGTGTCTGGGGGCTCAGTCAGTTGAGCCTGCTTGGGATTCTCTCTCTCCCCCTCCCTCTGCCCCTCCCCTGCTTATTGACCCCCCCCCAAAATAAACTTAAAAAAAAAAAAAAAAGACGTGACATGAAGAATGAAATAATCCATCCACACACACAAGTTGAACCCAAAGGGACAGAGCCACCTTGTGATGTCACCACCATATGGCCACCCAAAAGAGAAAGGGCCCCAGATGCACGATGACATGGCCTGGCCGGAGAGGAGAGGCAGCCAGCATGAAAACAGAAAAAAAAAAAAAAAAAAAAAAAAAAAAAAAAAAAGGGGCGCCTGGGTGGCTTAGTCGGTTAAGCGTCCGACTTTCGCTTAGGTCATGATCTCGCAGTTCGTGGGTTCGAGCCCCGCGTCGGGCTCTGTGCTGACAGCCAGCTCAGAGCCTATAGCCTGTTTCAGTCTGTGACTGCCTCTCTCTCTGACCCTCCCCTGCTCACGCTGTCTCTCTCTCTCTCCTAGAAATAAATAAAACATAAAAAGAAAAAAAAAAGAAAACAGCACAGAAAACGGGGGCCACAAATTTTAAAAAGCGGTTAGTAGCCCTTTTCTTCCTTGTTACTTAACCCTATCTGGTTCTCGAAAATGTTCCCCAGGAAGAAACCAGCCGGCTGGGGACAAAATCTCTGGCAACCGACTTACCGCTGCAGGCCCGCCTCACGTGCCCCGCGGGCTCCGGGGGGAGAGGGCGCCCCACAGCCGCCCGCTGTCCTGGTCCAGGGCTCCCTTCCGGCCCTGCCGGTGTCGGAGGGTGCCTGAGGTTGGGTCCTGGCCCCAGGCCCGGCCGGGCCCTTCCCATCAGTGGTGGCCAGGTGGCGAATGGCACACAGTCTTAAAGCTGCTAAGTCTGATGTTCACGGTGGCCGAGACCCCAAGTGACCCTGATAGGCTGGCTGGGCAGCGCCCTGCTATAACCACGGAGGGTTACCCAACTCTTTGGGTGGCCCCGAAAAGCCACCTGCCAAGGCAGACGAGAGTGTCAGAAAGGAAGTCCTTTCTCACAAAGGGGGGGCTTCCCTACAGAGGACAACGAGAGGAGAAGGTCCACTGTCACCACCGAGGGCCGCCGAGGCTCCAGGTGGCTCTGGACGGCGACCGAGGCCTCGGAGACGTGTGCAGCCCTGTGCTGTCCCTGCACCGTCCGGGCGCCAGGGTGGCTGGAAACCGGCCACACCGACTCCCCCCAGCTCCTGTCTCCCCATCTCCTACGCAGAGCGGGCGACGGAGTAGATTTTACGCAGTGACAGGTACAGAACAGCACCCCTGCACAGGAAGCAGCCTCGCAGGGGGAGGCCCGCACCCCCGCCACCCGCCCCGCTCGGCCACCTGTCTGTAAAGCAAACCCCAGACTGTGAACGCTGACGACAAGGCTGAACCACCGCTTCCTTGGTTTCTTCCCTTTCAAAGGTCCCAGCAGCCCTGGCCTGGGACAGAGGCAGTGACTGTAAAGGACATGTCCTGTAGCACAGCCTGTCCGTGCAGCTGGGGGGGAGGGGGTTCACCCAAGAGGGGACTCACACGCTGCTATCGGTGAGGGACAGGCTGTCGGCGTCGCTGGAAAGGCTCTGCTGCTCGCTGTCGTTGGCACTGGTGGCCGGGGCGAAGGCGTAGCCGGAGCTGACGTAGTAGGGGTTGACAGGCTCCCGCCAAGACCCGCACCTGTGAACAGGGAGCAAAGGTCAGCAGCAGGCCAAGGATATGTGTGCATCCCCAGCACCGTCCAGACACCCTAATTTACGAGCCGCACACGTAAAGAACCCAGAAAAGACAGCACGAAGGGCCAGTGCCTCCATCCTGCCTCCGGCCCCTCTGCTCTTCCCAGAGGGACCGCTTAAGCCCTGGGCATCTTCCAGATATTTCCTGTGCATTTAGGCAGACGTCTAAATGCGCACACAGTTGTCGCCTCGATTTGCGTTTTTCCACATGTAACTAGAAACGGGATGCACCCTCCTGCTCCTGCGCCCGCTAAAGGCCACTGGCAGGCTTATTTGCCACAGCAGCACTAACACCGGGGCCACCACTTCAAAGAGGTCAGGACTCCCGGGCGCGAGTCTGTGAAGGGTCGCGGGAGCCAGGAGGGGAAGGCGCATGGGTGTCTACCAGAGGCTGCCATGCCGCCTGCTGGTCACCTCCGCCTTCACGGCGCGGCGAGCAGCCTCGTGGCCCAGGGGGAAGTTCGCGGCCACTAGCTGTCCTACTGACCAGCCAGAACAGCCACCTGGCTGTAGGGCGCGTCGCCCTCAGGGGTTGGGGGCGTTTTGGGCACCTGTCACCTCCCTGCTCCTGCTGTGCGCGCCCTCTCCAGGCTGTTTGAGAGTCTCCTGGGAGTTACTGATGCCTTTAAATACCCTTCCTACTGACCTCTGATCATGCGAGTGAGTACTTTCTCCCCAAATGTCACTTTTCTTTTAAACTTTGTTCTTTTGGTCCTACAAGAGTTTTCTGTTTGTACAAAATTGGATTTACCAATCACTTCCTTCATAGATTTCTTTGCATCTTAGAAGGCAGGCCTCCCTCATTCCAAGATTACAAATATATTCTCCTGGTTTTCTTCGAATGCTCTAGGAGATTTTTATTTATTTTTTTACTTGAGCTCCTTACCTAAAATGTGTGGGTAAGTAACATTACCTCATTCCTTGTATCAAAGCTGAGAGCCAGCTCTTAGAACCAACTACTGAATAATGCACCTTGTTCGGAATTATTTTTTAAAATTCAATTATGTATTTGGAGAGAAGGAGCAAGTAGCGGGGAGGGACAGAGGGAGAGAGAGGATCCCACGCAGGCTCTGCGCTGTCAGCACATACCCTGATGTGGGGCTCGATCCCATGACCCTGGGATTGTGACCAGGGCCAAGCCAGGAGTTGGCAGCTCGACCAGGGCCCCCAGGTGCCCTCTGTGCCAGTTTCTGGGGGCCGTGCTGTTCTCCCTTCGGGACAGCGACCCTGCACCCCTGCCTAGCATGCGGGTACCTCCTCCTCCCAGACTGCCCTCCAAGAGTGACACAGGGGCTTAAGGAAAGAGAGAAATGGACGATGAGGTTCTGCGATGGCTACCGCGTGATGGGGGCCCTGCTGGCGGCTGGGGTGCCGTGTGGCGCAGGACCCGCCCCACCGGGAGCCCCAGCCTGACCTGTGGCGAGCGCACCACCACCCACAGTGCGCAGCTCCCTCCTGCACATGCTCCATATGAGGGGACCCGGGGCGCAGCACCGTGTCCCTCAGACTCCAGTGTCCTCCGTGCACAGAACGGGAGAGGAGACGGTCTCTATGGGGACGGAACCCCTGTGGGCAACCAGCACCCTACTGCCCCCCATTCGTGCCACGCACAGACTCAGGAAAAGGCGGCCTAACGAGACTGGGGGCCAGGCACCTCGGTGCCCTGAATACCCATCACGCGGGACGTGCGGGGCTGCGCTGGGCCAGGCAGCGGGGCCTGAAGACAGGCCCAACCGAGGGGGACAGCGTCTCCCGGGGGCCTTGGCATCCGGTCTCAGGAGGAGGGGCACCCGAGGCCATGGAAATGTGAGGAGTGCCAGCCAGGCAGTCCTCCCCCTCTGGCCAACGAGGCCCCAGCACCGGAGGTGACGCGGCTGCAGACCTTCCCCGCCGGCTCGGGAAGCAGGTACTCCACGTCCCTCTACCGGAGGGGCCGGTCGCTGCCTACCGCCACACGGTTCCTCTGACCCACCCGCCCACGCACGGCCGCCGGAGCCCCCTGGGAACATGTCCTGTCCAAAGGCTCACGGGAAGGGACGGGACACTCAGACGCCCGTCCCTGGGCCTGTGTCTATGTGCAGTTCCTTATCTAGACCTGCCATGAAGCAGATGGCAGGATGGCAGCCTGCAACACCAAAATTCTTTAGGAATCATACAGTTCTATTTTTATTAATTAAAAAAATTTTTAAAGTAAGCTCTACACCCAATGTGGGGCTCACGCTCACGACCTAGAGACCAAGAGTCCAACGACCAAGCCAGCCTCCCCATCATGAAACGTTATTTCTAGATGATTTATTCTAGACTTCTTAGTCCTCTGGGATACTGAAAGATGTAAAGCCAGCGATACCCCCACCATGAGGACCACGGCGCTGAAATCCAGGGGGTAAGTGCGAAACTGTTTTTCAGTTTCCCCGTTACTTTAAGGAATGTTAAACTTTGGTTACTTTCTATAAACGCTCATTTGGTCAAACGAAAAAAAAACTTGAACTTGAAGAGGAAAAGGCATCCCAGCTTGGAAGTCCCGAGCCCGCAGAGCACGCGCCCCGCCCCCTGCACGCCTGTGTGTCCCCCGTGGCACGAACCCCGCCCAGCAGGACCGAGCCTGGACTCCGATGTGTGCAAGACCGCGGGCCTCCCTCCTGGTCCCTGGTGAGCCTTTCACATGTATAAAGAAGCCCATCTTTGAGGTGAAAAGCAAGAAAAACATGGTTTCTTAATTTTCCACAGCCTGCAGAACAGAGCCAACCCCACTACATGGGCTGCAAGTCGCGAGGACAAAGGGCAGAGAGAAGAAGAGAAGAGAAGACAGGAAGGGCGCCTGGCGGCTTGGTCAGTTGAGCATCTGAGTTTAGCTCAGGTCATGACCTCGACGTTCCCAAGTTTGAGCCTCTCATCGGGCTCTGCGCCGGCAGCTCAGAGCCTGCTTGGGATTCTGTCTCCCGCTCACTCTGCCCCTCACCTGCTCGTTCTCTCTCTCTCTCAAAATATAAAAATAAATTTAAAAAAAATAAAAAGAAGGGAGGGCAAGCCACCAGCATTTGGTCACCTATCTAAACCTGTAGACAATAAGGCTGGCTCTGGGAACTGAGGCCATCAGTGCCCTGGGCCTTTCCTGCAGGCTGACACGACAGAAAGTTCTGGCCAGTGACCTGCAAGAGGAAACGCCCTGTGGGGGAACCTGTGTGCCTACAAGTCAGCCCAAAACAGAGACGGACAGTGTGCCTGTGTGTGTGTGCGCGCGCACGCACACGCACACACAGACGCACACACACGCACGCGCGGGCCCAGCAAGCGTAGCCAACCTCCCAGGTGCTGCAGCCAGAGAAACGCCCCACTGCTCGGTCCCTCCCGAAGTTCTCCGAATGAGACCCTGATGGGCCCACAGATGCCCAACCGGACACGTATCCTGCCTTGCGCCGCCTTTCCCTTCACCTGCCGTTCACAGGACTTGGGTTTTCCCTCTTTTTATATGTAACTTCACGTGTTATTCTCCTTTTGTGTGTCTGCTGGGAAAGCCAGCCTTGTTAACATCGAGCCGGACAATCTTTTCTTCTGACTGGAGAGTCTGGTCCCGCTGCGTCTGGAGACACTACTGAGAGCGGGGTCGTCCGCCGTCTTATTTGCTGTCTGTCCCAGTCCGTGTTCTTTTGTTCTTTCTTGCCTTCCTTTTGGCTTTATTTTTATCGTCTGTCTCCTGTCTCTAATAAGGTAACCTTCTCTGAATAGTTTCTGTGAAGATCACAACAGGTGCCCTGGGGGCGCCTGGGGGGCTCAGGCAGCTGTATATCTAGCTCTTGATTTCTGCTCAGGTCATGATCCCACGGTCATGGATCGAGCCTGCGTTGGGCCCTGTGCTGACAGTGCAGAGCCTGCTTGGGAATTCTCTTTCCTGGTCTCCCTCTGCCCCTTTCCCCAGCTTGCTCATTCTCTAAAAGATTAATAAAACTAAACAACAGGTGCCCTGATGTATCACAGTCCAGGGACCTGTACTTGCCTCGTCTCAGACAACACAAGGTCAGAATTAAGCCATTTCCCTCACACACTGATGTGTTATCCGTATCCCGTATTTTAAGTCCATAGCATCTTATACCCCACAGGACATTGTCACCACGGTTTCAGCCCACAAACACTCACCTAGAGTCACCCATGTATTTGCGTTTGGGAGTTTGAACCCGATAGCCTCTTCTTTCTGCTTGAAGGACACCCTAACCGGTCTCCTTCAGTCAGGGGCTGCTGCTCACAGCCGGGACTCTCTTTATCGCCTGCATTCACGACAGCCATTGTCACTGGGCTGGGGTTCTGCTTCTAGAGGATGCCTGTGCACTTTATGGGGCATGGAAAATGGTACAGCCACTATGGAACCCGGAGCCCAGTATGGCAGATTTGTCAACCCTCTGTCTTGGCACACATTGGACACTGAGAGCAGGGTCTGGACCAGAGATGTGTCCCCTGGGACGCCAGGAAATGTGGCCCACTCCATGGAAGGTGGCCAGGGGCCTTCTCAGGCTGGCTGCCGGCAGCCCCTCCCGCTCCCAGCGCTCAGGCCCCGCTCCCCACGCTGAGCCTGGATGAGCCTCCCAAAAGGGGAAGCAAGCAGCTGAAGACCGACACGATGCAGCCTGCGGATCCAGGGGACAAACTCAGATGTGTTTCACGGCCTGTTATGGCCTGCAGAGCGGTTTTCTCCTTTGTGCCTCCCTTAACCCGGGCCCTCATCCTCACCAACACAACACTCTAAAGGGTCCAGGCAGTTACCCCCAGCACAGCTATTTCCTCGTGGTGACATCCACACTGGGCACTTTTTGGCCAGAATGTCACAGAGGTGATGCTGAATCACATCAAGAACATCAGCTTGGCTCGTCCCAATACTGGTAGCAAACCAAGCGTGAGCTTGCTGTTTCCAGTCTCTTACTTTCCTTTTGTTATCAATGGGCAATTGTGGGG